AATGAAACACATATGAAAAAACTAATAGAGTATAAAATTATTCAATACATAAAGAATTTTACTGTGTATAAACATACTTAACATTTTACCATGCACGCTGTGTCCCATTATTTTTATCAGTATCATTTCAAATATGGAATTAATTAACATATGTTACATGAATATCTAGTTTGCAAAATAATATTTTATGTTTTTTCATCTTATATAAATAAAATTGTTATTGACCTTATCAGGTCGTTGTAAATTCTTCGCTTTTATAATAAGTTCCATACTATATTCAATACTGTCTTGTTGTTCCATACTATCTTCAATACTGTCTTGTTGAAATGCAACCCTGAAGAATGTACAGTGATTAGATAAGATCGATAATTTACTATCTGATAGTAAATCGGATGTTCGAAAATATATAGCAACATTTGCAAGGCAAAATTATATTGTATAATATAATATTAAAAGATTATCATGTATGTTCTTTGTTATGATAACATTGATTGTGTTTACTCTATATGTTGGAACTCTATATTGCAGAATGATATTCTATTTCTGAAATATTGATGAAAATAACGTAACAGCATGCATGATATAATATTTAGTATTTTTATATATATTAAAATTTTTTATATACGAAATAATGCACTCAATTAAGCCGGTATCAAACTACTGAGACTGAGATTTAGATAAGTGAATTTGTCCGATCAGAACAAGGTTCACTAAACAGGTTTTCTTTTTTCTGATTGGGTAATTTGAATCTAATCTTAATCTCAATCCCCAGTATGATACCGGATAGATATCTATGTATACACATGCATAAACACACATCAAACTTCAAAGTAGTCTGGATAAAAGTATCAAATATAAAGAAGTTAACAATTATACATACAACGCATATGTGTTTCGCAGAATAGAATTGCATATCTCAAATAACGCGGAAAAAATTGTAACCGCATATAGTATAGCATATAGCATACAGTATAAGAATTTTACATATTGGTACATCCAAATAATGTTTTCATAGATATGTTATTCAAGGATACCAGAAAACACACATGAAATCATATCATATTGTATTAAGCATTTTTGACTTGCAAACGTTGTTGTATGATATACTTTCTCACATTTTATGTATTACCATATAATAAATTATTGTTCTTATCAAATCGTTATAAATTCTTTGCGGTTGCTTTTCGACAGTACAGTATCGAATATATGCAATTTATTATAAAAACGAAGAATTTCGAACAAATGATAAAAATAGTGATAGAAAAATAGTGATTGTTTTAAGGTGCAAAGATCTGCAGAGTTTAGAAAATATCATAACAACATCTTGCAGGATGTTAGTACCATGAGTCTTTACTATTTATATTCTATCTTTGGATCATGTATTTAAAGAAGCTAAAGGCCATATCAGACGATTGCGCTGCTACTTTTGCCGATTGACAATTTTACTATTACCAATCACGTTGTCTGTAACTAGGGCCTGCTACATTGTGATTAGCTGAAATGACATCATCAATCAGCAGCCGTAGCCGTGCAATCACTAGTTTGATATAACCTTAAAGCCGTTTCATACTGGAAATTGAGATTGTGTAGATTAAAATGTAACCAATTAAGAAGAAAAAAACTAGGCTGATGTTTAATGAATTTTGTTCGGATTGGATAATCAAACGTTTGGAAGCATTTGTAGAACCAATTGGATCGCACTTCATGACGCTCGTAATTCAAAATAACTCTGTATTTTTCATGTACATTGCGTGATAAAATATTCATTCTTTTTAATTAAATTTTTTTGCACAGTTCTTCTTTTCTATTTTTCTTTCCAAAGGAGGGAGAAAAAGAAGAAATGATCTCTGCAAGAGATTCAGTAAAAAGAACAGTCTATCGTAATAACAAATAAACTCACAAAGAAGTGTCCTGTTCAACGCTAGATCAAGCCAAAGCAAAAGCCTCAGCAAAAGAAAAAGCTTTTAAATATAAGCTAAGTAAGCTAAGTAAAATATAAATCGCAATAATGTTTACTTTATTAATGCTTTCTGATGGCACGTATCATGTATGTTTATTAAGTGATATTTATGCTAGAAGAGGTAAAAAGTGCATGTTAAAGAAATCACAATCGCGGATAAAAGCATTTATAGTGGCTATTAACGGTAAGTGCGTATACTGTTAGCACTATTGTTGCTATAGGACTTATTGATAATTTCTTTATTTTTGTTTTTGTAAGGATAATATATATTTTTTTGACAATGTTAATATATTATATTTATATTATATTTATAATATATTATATTATATTTAATTAATATTATATTTAATATAGTTTTTTAACTGTTTAGGGTATAATTTCTTTATTAATACCTTAAACATTTTTAGACATTTTAATTATTATTATAAAAATGTCTTGTAAAAGTGTTATTTTGATTCGTCAATCTATCTTAGGAAAACAGAAAATTAATCCAAAATCGATTTTAATATGTTGTTAAAGATCAGTCATTTTGTTCAATATTTAATTTTAATAAAATAATATTGATTTTATAATTGTTAGTATTTATAATTTTTAACAAATAGATCTAGAAAAGGCCAATGAGACGAGCGTGGATTAAATAAAATAAATTAACCAGTTTTTAACATAAGTAAGATCTACAATATATATTATTTAAGACTGAACGGAAGTACATAAATCGCTTTAACAAAATTCAAAAATCTCATAAGATTTACTTATGTTAAAAATCTTAAGATCTTACTTGTGTTAAAAAATCGGTTAATTTAATTTACTTAATCCACGCTCATTGGGCTTTTCTAGATCTATTTGTTAATTTAATTTATGAGTTTTTACTTTTTAATTACTTTTATAAATTCTTGTTTTAGTTGCATAAGAAAAGACAGTTATATTTTAATTAGAA